AATGCCTGCTGTTTTTCAGAGCCAATACAATATTTTGCTCAGTTGATGAATTGGTATGTTTTCACTTCTGTTTGATTACCAGGAAACTCAGAGATACGTTTTGTATTCAGCAGCAGTAGCTTCCCCTAACCTGGGCTCTCGGGAATAATAAATTTACATTCTCTCTCAAATGTTCAGTTCTTGCCTTATTTTTCCCTTGAATTTTTAAAATTGTGGTGAAATACACATAGCATAAAACTTATCATCTGGGCTTCCCTGGTGGCGCAGTGGTTGAGAGTCCGCCTGCCGAGGCAGGGGACGCGGGTTCGTGCCCCAGTCCGGGAAGATCCCACATGCCGCAGAGCGGCTGGGCCCATGAGCCATGGCCGCTGAACCTGCGCGCCTGCAGCCTGTGCTCTGCAATGGGAGAGGCCACAACAGTGAGAGGCCCGAGTACCGCAAAAAAAAAAAAAAAAAAAAATCATAGAGACAGAAAGAAGGCTGGTGGGTATCAGGGGCTGGCGGAGGGGGGAATGGGGAGTTATTGATTAGTGGGGACAGAGTTTCAGTTTGGCAAATGAAAAAGTTCTGGAGATGGATCGTTGTACAACATTATGAATGTGCTTAATACCACTGAACCATATACTTAAACATGGGTAAGATGATAAGTATTTTGGGGCCTCTCACTGTTGTGGCCTCTCCCGCCGCGGAGCACAGGCTCCAGACGCGCAGGCTCAGCGGCCATGGCTCACAGGCCCAGCCGCTCCGCGGCATGTGGGATCTTCCTGGACCGGGGCATAGAACCCGTATCCCCTCCATCGGCAGGCAGACTCTCAACCACTATGCCACCAGGGAAGCCCTGTCTCTATGACTTTGACTACCTCATGTAAGTCAGCCCTTGCCTTTTTTAAAAAAAATAAATTTATTTTTTTTAAATTTATTTTTGGCTGCGTTGGGTCTTTGTTGCTGCACGCAGACTCTCTCCAGTTGCAGCGAGCGGGCTCTAGGTGTGTGGGCTTCAGTAGTTATGGCTCACAGGTTCTAGAGTGCAGGCTCAGTAGTTGTGGCGCAGGGGCTTAGTTGCTCCACGACATGTGGGATATTCCCGGGCCGGGGCTCGAACCCATGTCCCCTGCTTTGGCAGGCAGATTCTGAACCTCTGTACTACAAGGGAAGCCCAGCCCTTACCTTTTAATGCTTGCTCCATTGGTGGACTTTTATTGCATCTTTTACTGCAAGCTGCCTCAGATCCTATTTTTTTGAAGCTAGCTTGGTATAAACAAATAAAATCAGGATGGTAATAATTAGGCACAAGGGAAACACAGAGAAAGCTTAGGGCAGACTTCCTCTGCCCCTCCAGGAAATGAGTATGGCTGAGGAGGTGAAAATGTAGCTCATGAGAAATGTCACAGGAGGAATACTGAAGTCTTTACCCCTTGTTGGAAATTTAGATTCCATGAGGCTGGGCCTCCACAGAAGAAGGAGGTATAACTTCCACTGGAGTGAAAAACAATCATGACAGAGGGGGCACCTGGATTTGAACCAGGGACCTCTTAATCTGCAGTCAGATGCTCAACCCCTGAGCTATAGCCCCAGCTGCCTATATCTTTTTCACAAGACACTTCCATAGTTGCAGTCTTTCCTAAGCTGTGCTTTCACCATCCTGTGTCTCCCTGGGGAGCTTCCTGAGCTGCTTCTCTGGGCACCCACCTGCACACCTGTCAGAACTGCTCCCCTTCCTCAGAGCCTGCGTACCTATGCCCACCCAAACACCCCTCTTCCCAGAGCACGTCTCGCCCCCTTCCCTCATTATTATTATTATTACTGAATACAGGAGGAACTCTACCCAGCCCCTTAATATCTAAGATGCTTCATTTCTTCTTTCTTTTTCTTCATCTCCCACTCTCTGTTTTGGTTTCCTTTCCAGGGGACCAAGGCCTGGGACCTATGGGAGGCTGTCAGCATCTTGGCTTTACCCCAGGAGAGGCGCCTGGCCAAGAAAGCTACAGCCCCAGCTTTCCAGGGGAAGAGTGGGCAGGGGTGAGCCCAGAAGTTGGCATAGCCACAGGGCCTGGCATGGGGCTTGGGCTTACTTCTTCTGGAACTCAAACAGCCCCTGCTGTACAGTCCTACATTTTGTAGTACTGAGCCATCGTTGCATTTCTGTCTGAGTCTTTCTTGGTTATGTTGTACCATACAATTGGATACGATTTCTACTATTTCATTCAGATTATTCTGAAGTGAGATTGCCCTTCCCCGATAGAGGAGGGTGGTTCTTTGGTCAAGGGTATGGGAGTAGCTGTGTCCCTGCTAGAGCCTCCAAACAAGCTCTCCATTTGTAGGAGAACGTAGGCCCATCAAGCTTCCAAGACTCCAGACACATCCAGTGAGGCGCTGAACGCGACAGTCTGCCTTTCTTGGGAAAAAAAGAGTTAAGAGTGTTGGCAAGTGGATGATTTTTTTCCAGGATTATAAAACAACACTGGATGAACACGAACATACTTCTTGGCCCACTTCTCTGATGATTTCCCTAGGACTGATTCCCAAGAGTGAAGATGGAAGGCTCCGAGGGGCTGGCTGGGTGCTGCGACTCACAGCCTCCATCAGCAGTCACCAGCCCCCCCGGGGTCCTGCGCTCTGCCCTTCACTTCCCAACCCCCATGGTCCTGCCCTTCACTGGAGTCCTTACCTGGCAGCACCTCAGTGAGGCCATCAGGTATGGAGCCTGGCTCCCAGCCCTGCAGCACCAGACCCCTGACTTTGTGATGCAGCCCGGCTTTCAGGACCTCCCTAATCAGGCTCTGAGAGATGGATGCATAATAAGCCAGAATGCCCTCGAGGTTACCTGGGAAACCAAATTAGCTATCAGAAAGTTGCTTCCAGAGGCTGCAATCAGAGCAAAGGGGAACTGAATGCTCTTGAGGGTTTCTCAGGCCACGGAAAATTATTATGCATTATTCCTGTTCCAAAGTCCCGTTCCTTCTTTAGAGACCAGAATACTCACGGTCACCGAACTGGGAAGCGCAGTGTGTCCTCAGGCATCCTTCCTAGATCACTGCACTCTGTCATCCCGCTTCCGGAACGTGCCCGTCCCTCTCCTCCATCTAGCCTCTCAGCCCTGCGATCTGCTCAGTGTGGATAGATCTTAATCCACAGATTGAGGGATAGAAGATAACTCTACAAAACAACTGGATCTCTATTTTGTGTCCCATCCTACTGAGTGGCAGAAATTTAATGAGTCAACCTCAGGACTCCCCCAACGCCCCCGCACCCTGTGTCACACCTAAGTCCTGAAAGGGCTTTCCGAGTACCACAGTGCTGGGGGGTGCGGTGGGCATCTGGTCCTCCATGTCGTCTTGACCACATTGTGACCTTCCGATCCCACGCTGGTCCCCGCTGTGTCTCCTCCCAGGTTCCCTGGCTCTCCCGGCCACGCCCATGCCACGCCCCCCTGCTGGCACAGAGTGGGTGCCGATCTTTATTCCCCGAATCCCCCAGCACCCACACTGTTGGAATCGGAAAGCTGAGTACTGACAACATGCATTCTACAGGGTCATCCCTTCTCTGTGTTGTTAAAGGCACAAAACCTCCCCGGCTGGATGGGGGATGGGGGAGAGCATCTTTCGAGGGCAGGAAACCTTGGTTACCAGCTGTGTTAAGACCCAGCTTCCTAACTGGTCTGGGGGCTGGTTTAAATCCTATAATGCAGCCCCAAAAGTAAGGCGGTTAGATAATTCCCTGGCAATAACGAGGGAAAGTTTCCACATCCTCATTCTTGCTGGTTACACAGAAGGGGTGCAATACCAGGAGGCCCAGCAAAGGGAAATTTGGGATAATTCCCAGTAAAGGGAAGCTTGGGATAGTTAAAGGGGGCACCCAGATTTGAACCAGCAACCTCTTGAACTGCAGTCAGATGCTCTAGCCCTGAGCTCCAGCCCCTACTGGAACAGCGTTTCTCCTCAGAACTTCTCACTTTGGTAGTCACACCACAGACGCCTGTGATAACTTTAGGACCTGACGCTTATCGAGCACTTACAATGTGCTAGATAAGCTGTTCTAAGACTTTCACATACTGTATCTGATTTTAAAAATTATTGTGTTAGTGCTGTGTCCACCGCCACCCGCATCATGGGTGACAATGACACAGGGGATTGAAGCAAATTGCCCTAAATCACAAAGCCAAAGTGACAGAACAAGAGTTAAAGGCCCACCACTGTATCTCGCCTCGACTCAGCTGCCCTTGAGGGTGGGTCTCAGGGCCTTGCTGCCTCAGGGCCAAGCCTTCACCCCGCCCTGTGACCCCAGCAGTCCCTCTCCCCCACCTCCCTGCAAACGCTCCCCCTTTTCTAATGGGTGTGTTAGGGAGGGGACCTAACCCAGCGCCTTGAGAGGACCCACCAGAGGCTTCTGGGAGTCAGATGGCTTGAACTGAAGTTTCCTAAATTTCTGAATGAATTAGGTTTTTTACGAGTAGCGCTTTCATATGGCACAGAATTGAAAATGTACGAAACAGCAACCAGAGAAAAACCGACTCCATCCCATCTCTGTCTCTCAGCCACCACACAACGAGTTTACTGGTTTCTTGTTGTGTGTACACCTTTGAAAGGGAACATTTTTTTCTTAGTGCCCCAGGGCTAACTTAATTTTAGTTTATTGTACTGCTTGTATCTGTATACAAATGTGTACACAAAACTAGATGTAAATGCTTCCTACTCACAGTTGTATACACTATTAAGACAAAACAATTTTAGAAATCAATACAAACAAAATCACATACCCAATAACATTCAACTTAATAGCAATTCAGATGAAATCATTTTGCTGGAAGAGGCTCTTTGCAATGTGCTCGTGAAGCTGCTCGTGCCTGAAGACCCAGCTGTCCCCCAACTCCTCTGCTGTCTCTGCTAACACACCCAGTGACAGCCTCTCTCGGCCCAGATCCATCTCTCATAGGCTGAAGTTGTCACCAAACTCAGCGTTGGCTGCTCGCTGCTCAAAAGCCAATAATCAAGAGGCAAGTGTCAGTAGAAACGAAAAACGCTTTAATCAGAAAAGCCCGCTATCTGGGGAGAAGGTGAACTCATGTCCCAAGACCAACTGCAAAGATTCTGCTCAGCCATGACAGTTTTTAAAGGGAAAAATGGGGAAGAATTTCAGTGAACCATCGAGGCAGGAGGTCGGGCTCTGCATCCTTCTCCATTGCTTGCTGGCTGGCTGCCTCTCTCTCCAGACGTTATCTTGCTTGTGTGATCTGCCTGCAGGATTGCGAAGGGGGCTGTTGCAGGTAGAGAGCTGGTCATTCCTTAACTACTTAATTCTTCCTTCTTCCTTCTTTTAATCTAGGAAAAGACTCAACAGTTACACAAGGCATGGTGTGCACTCAGGAGAGCTCAAGTCGGGAGTTAGGTTAAATTGCCTAGTCATCTCGTTCCTATAATTAGGTTCTTTAAGGTTGGAGGGGCACAGAAATGGACAAACAGTTAAGGGGCAAAAGAGCTGCTTTCAAAGTCTGCCTCTGTTCTTCTGTCATCACAGTGTTACAGCACGGTGTGGTGACAATGTGGTCATAAACCCGGGCACACGCCAGCACTGGGCTCTAGATTAAAAGATGGCCCTGCAAACCAGCCACAGCGTGCCTATATCTGAACGGTTAAGATTGTGATTAAAGTATGAATAGATTCCCAGGCAAACTCAAGAACCACTGAGAAGCACTGACCTGCTGTCCCTTTCATGCCTGGGCACATTTGGGCTGCCCACAAGGGTCAGGACCAGGCCTCAAAGGTTTTGATTTCTAAATCAGAATCTAAACCTCAGGCCTCCCCAGGAGCACAGCCGCCCTCCCTTCATTTTCTCCTCCCCTCTGTCCAACCTCTCCACCAGCTCCTTTCTGAGGAGCACCCCCATCCCGGGGAACACATGTTGTTGGTAAGCTGAGTAGCTACAAAGTCTTGTTAGGTAGGGTCACATAAGTCTGTCCCTGGGGATGGTCCTGCTTTCAGGTCTGTAGTCCCAGCATCCAGTTCATGGAGTCAAAGTGAAGCTTTGGAAGTTCATTTTGTCCAAGGTGAAACACCTGACTTATTGCAAAGGCTGTTATAAACTCCATTTAAGACTTCAATAGAAGATAGAACTCTTTGTTTTTGCAGTAATAATACAAGAATGAAATTTTCGGAGCACAGCATTGTAATATAAACCATGTTCTTAGCAAGGAAGCCATCAGTAAGTTCTAAGCAAATTAAGCAGAAATGTCGCTGGCACTGTGGCACACACATAATTCACAAGTGCATCCGAACAAGCTGTGGTTTTCTACCAACTCATATAAAAGCTGAATTGGGGGCTTCCCTGGTGGCGCAGTGGTTGAGAGTCCGCCTGCCGATGCAGGGGACACGGGTTCGTGCCCCGGTCCGGGAAGATCCCACATGCCGCGGAGTGGGTAGGCCCGTGAGCCATGGCCGCCGAGCCTGCGCGTCCGGAGCCTGTGCTCCGCAACGGGATAGGCCACAACAGTGAGAGGCCCGTGTACCGCAAAA